TGAGAACGCGTTCCCTTTCGAATTATTTTCTTCAATCTGTCACTGAATTTCCTCGGGATTGATGACATTTCTGTGTTCTTTCGAACTCGATTTTCAGCTCTTTTGGAAACTAATCAGCTCGGTAGTTGAGTCTTGGAATTCTTATGCTTCTTGCCAACTTCATTTATGCTGCTCTTCAAAATCTGTTGAATACATATTTTAACAGAGCATCTCCCCTATCATCAAGTTCACAATCTTTCTTACTAAGCTTTCTGTTATATGGTTGTAGGTATGTGAACCTTGAGAATTCTAGCGAAACTTGCTCGCCAATTTTGTTGTGTATATTGTCTTAGCTTCAGACAACTTGATCACTTTGAATCTCGGGTGATTTGGTGTCTTGATAATCGTGTTAGATTTATGCAAGAACTTTCAATCAAACCCTACTTTTGTCCCGTGGCCCTTCTCTCTTAACCCATTGACCAACCTCCAATTTGTTTTCATTAGGGAGGTGTCAATTGCAAATCTGATATTTTCCCGATGATGATTAATCAACTTACTCGCCTCTCGCTATAGCTAAAAACTGAGATGAGAACGAGGTAGAGGACACAGAGTCATTATCGAAAGATACTAAATCTCAGTATCTTTATGAAAAGAAGAATATTTTCAGAGTGAACTTTGAAACTCGCACAGCAAACCTCAAAACGACCCTCCCTCCTATCCTTCCTATTTCCGCAGCCCAATTGCAGAATCTCTTGGGACATACTTCTTCTGAGTATATCCCATCTCTTGAAACCTTATCTCTTCTCGGAACCTGTCACTCTTTCCATCGCAATCAACAACTTGCCCTCCTTAAATTAACATCCACAATTATTTCTGACGCCCCATTTAATATTTTAGGGGTCGTATCGTTCACCAAAGCAAACATCTGTCGCACTCGTAAAAATGGGGTTTCTACGGATTCTTCTACTGGTTTGAGTCAAATGAATCCTGTAACTAAAACCGAATTCCAGACTCTCTGTTTACTGGCCTTTTGCCATCTCGTTGAGGGATTACGGTAAACTTGGAGTTATATCGATTGGGCTGACAATAAGAGATTTTTCAGTGGCGGTGGCCGGATCAGTGTGCCGCGAGCTAGGGTGAATCGTCCGGTCAAAGTTCTAAGACTCGAAAGAAAACTCAGGTGTTTAGTCAATTGAAGTCATTCAACACACCCAATTTCAGTCAGCCGAAACCCTTTCAATTGCCCATTCGGGGGAATTTATCATCGGCAGTTAGTGTCTTAATGCCTTTAAAAGTCAATCTGAGAATGTTCAGTGATTACAAGACGCCGATCAACGTTCAACCAAGACGACACAGCTACGATCCCGACAGAATCACGATCAATATGTGTAGTGTCAGACAGACAACAAGAAATAGTAGTTCATTGCTTTCTAGATCAAAATACACTGGCAAAGAAGGCCACAACTCGATTCACTACCCGGCAATCAATGAGTGAGTGATTTGAAGAATCTGGCTCAAAAACCCAAAACTCACAGAAAGCCATCGGCTCATCTTTTGCCTCCACGTGCCAACGACCACCCGGCTCTCGGAAATCCCCTCGAGAAATTGTGAGTCGATCCGTGAAATTGCATGAACATCAATGAACCTAACAACCCTTTCACAATTCTCTTCTCCAGCTTGTCAAAACATTTGCCTAAGCAAAGCTTCATTGGTTCCGACCATTTGCAGAGTGATCGAACCAAATTTTGCCGATCATCTCAAGAGGAATCCGGCTCCAATTGGTGGCAGAGTGCCACCGGATGGCCAGCGAACCTTCAAGAATAGTGACATCGAGTACAGCCGTCAACTAATCCTGGATATCGATACGTGAGGTTTGTTTGAATGTTGGAAAGCTTTAGCCTATCTATTCAATCTAGTCGTCTATCGGGTTCCGGACATCGTGACGATCGCATTGAGGGTTTCGGATTCAAAGCGGATGGTCGTCCTGTTGTGATGCCTGTCAAGCTGAAATTTGTTCATATCTGATGAAAATCCTTTGATAAAACACTGCGTTATTTTACACAAAGAAGTTTCCTCAAATTGGTCGAAATATTTTTGGATTAATCATGCATTGGAAATTGGAATAAATATTGATGATTTCACGTTGAAAATCTCACCGCAGCGTGGGTGTTTGAATCCAGCTCTGGCTCCGGAACCCGTGAATTCGTGAAATCCACCGAACTTCCATCCGTCCATTCAAAAGCCTTTCCTCTGTCTGGATTTCTCTGAATAAAGAAATTTTTATGTTTGTTCAGGAAAAAACAAGGCGCAAAGTACATGGCCCAGGAATTTAGTGCAGGCCCGATCCAGATACGGCTCTCGATTACGCGACAAAGTATAAGCACACTGATGGGAACTACTACAAGCTTTTCTTCCAGATGATTCAACTGTACACTGAAAGAAATTATGGACTCAATTATTTATAAATATTTCTAGACTCGAGTCGATCCTGATAGGAGAACGATCATGGATCTTTCAAAACAATGACTGGCTAATGACCGACAATGACTCATTTCGAACCTATGGGCTCTGTATCTTCAAATGTTGAGAGCTAACTGAAGAACCATAGGTTTTTGCTATTTTGTCCACAATGTTTGTCCTAATTGTATTGTTTTAAAAATAAAATCTCTAAAAGATTGGTTCCAAGAAATTGCAACTCTTTAACAAACTCTTTCCCCATTTTGTTGGATATACACAGTTCAACTTTTTCCCAGATCCATGTTTGTTTGTTTCTTTTCAATCATTGAACATCTGTTTGTCGTTTCGGTCTCCTAAGCCCTTTACTAAAAAGAAAAATGATTATCGCTAGTGCGGAAGAGTGGGGAAAAAGAGATAACCAACCAGAGAGAAAGCGACACTAAGCTAGTTGTATGTATGTTTATAATGTATGTAAGTTGTATGGAATCGCAAATTCTATCGATTTGTCCAATTCGTTCACCCTGGAATCTATTTGCCGACTTAGCTCTAATATCGTCCAATAACCATTTAGTGCTTCGGATCGTCTTAGTGGGAATGTTTTGAAAATGAGGTAAAAGTTTCTTCAAGGTCTATATTCACACAACCAGCATTCCCAATCGATGACAAGCTCACCCAAAAGAGCAAACCTTGTATGAACTGAGAACTGGTTTGGAATGCTATAAACCACTAGTTTATCTCTCGATGTGTCAACCCACTTGAATCCGGAAGCTTGGAACTGATTTTCTCCGGCACCCACTCCCCAACTTCACACGAACTGACGGCTTTCTTTTTCCTGAAATGCCACTTTTTTTCTGTTCGAAGTCCTATTCGTAGCGATTGTTGCGACGGCTTAATGAGTCAATCGTCGGTTGGAAGGCGATCGCTTTTCTAAACAATTTCAAAGCTCTCAAAAGCTCTTTTCCGTGAATAAAGAATTGTTTATCGCATTGTCGCCTCATTCCTTCTTCCCATTTCCCCGAATTCAAAACTAATTAACCAATTCAGCAGAATCGGTGTGATGGCCGTCGGTCTATTCATCACGATTCTCCTCCTTTTCCATCAAATTTCATCGTCCATTCAACAAAGCAATCACGTGGATCCATCCACGTATTCTTTTCCCTTCAAATAGCTATGTTTTCAACCATTCAGATCTCCGATAGATCGAGATAAAATTCTGTCGGGTGATCGTCGTACTTTGAAGTTGGTCAGAAAGAGATTTTTCGATGATCTTAGATTTCAGCGGTAAAAAGCATTGTCCGGATACCATCTGCTTGAGATCTTGTCAACGAAATTTGTGAGTTCTTTTGGAGTAAAGCAAAATTGGTAGAATAAACAAGAAAGAGGCTTGAGTGTCTCAATGACAAGACTTTTCAGGAAAGAAACCCAACAAGAACTCGTCGAGGCTCGAGGAAAAATCTCCGGACTCGAGAGAGAAATGTGGGTGAAATCAAGAAATCTTGCAGAATTCAAGCTCATCTTTTTTGGATTTTGAGTAGTGAGTAATTTGAGTATTCAGCGCAAGAGAGCGGAACGAAACGAAGGACAAAGACGTCGAGATGAGTCGATTGACAGCAAAAATAGCTCAAATCGAGGCGAATTTAATGGGGGAAATCGCCGAGACGAAAAGGAAGAACGACGATCTCGAAGCACAATTGTACTAATTTTGTAACTTTTGACAGGCTCAATATATAGTTTGAATGCTAGCTTTTTTCAGAAGAACTCAAAACACGGAAGTGAGAGACGGAAAAGCCAAGATTGGAGAGCTCGAAGGGAAAATCAACGCGTTGCAGAGCCAAAAATCTGAAGATGTAGAGATTCGTAGAAATGATCTGTTTTTGGGTTGTTTTTTAGTTTGGAATGGGGTTTCCTTTGTTTCACGATTGATTTTATGTCACGATTATGTCAATTTTCAGCAGGCTCATCGAAATCGCGTTTTTTTACGTTTGACGTTTGACATTTGACGTTTAAAAATACTGTAAAGCGTTAGTATATAAAAGGTGTAGTGGATAGTCTGCTCACTCTTCGCGCTGTTCGGCCCCTTTCCCTGGTTCCCTGGTTTGCATCACTTTCGAATCACTTTTTTCTTTTCTTTTAAAGCATTAAAATCAATTTTTAGATGTGTCTACAACAATAAATAAATCTAACTCATCTAATAATCTCTAAATCAATTGGTATCCATTGTATTCTCGATTTTTCTAGGCACCGTCGCTCCCGCGATGATCCAGGCATGCGCTCTTCCCGAGGACAAAGGAAGCGTTTGCGGATCCGGATACAAATTGGTGAATTTTAAAATGAGCGTCTTGAATTTAAGAATGCTCAAGGCAAAGCAAGCAACAAGGTTTTCTTTCTGCATTGGCTAGCCTAGCTGAACAAGATATTCTTTATACAGATTTTCAAAGCTTTCTAAACTCCTACTTTTCTTGTTTTTTTTTCAGTCTTGGTACTACGATACGACTGAGGGTCGATGCTCTCAATTCTCGTATGGTGGATGTGATGGAAATCAGAACCGATTCGCCACTGAGGAGATGTGCAAAGAAGTGTGTGTTGAGCCGCCAAAGCAAGGTACGATTTTGGTTTTTGGAAAATTTCCTTGATTTTCAGACCCCAACAGATTTGAAACATTGCTTTTAAAATGGCAAATCGTAAAAATACCGTAAAGCGTTAGTATTACAGTAGACTAACGATAAATAAGTATCCAGCTTCTAGACTGATTCCAATTTGAGATTTCTAAAAGAATATGCAGTTTAGCTGGATATTTTAATACGATAATAAGCTGTGGCTTTGATTGACTAAAAGTTTAGTTAAAAAAAATTTGTAATAGAAGTTTCAATGCTTAAATGATACAATTTTTTTGCTTACAGCTAAACTCCAACAAATTATTCCGAAAAAAATCGATTTAACATCCATTATTTTGAAACATTGAAATCTATAGCTTGAAATGAGCTAAAGAAATGGTTCAGCAAACATTAAATAAGCTTTAATATATCAAAAAAAATTATCAAACATTAAATAAACTCAAATTCTCTAGGTCGCTGCTATTTGCGGAAGAATGAGGGACCATTGCGCTGCGATTCGCCAACAGCTCGTTATTACTACGATCACAACACAAAAAAGTGCGAGGCTTTCTGGTGGAGAGGTTGTTTGGGAAATGCGAACAATTTCCAGAGTTGGGAGGAGTGTTCGGTGAGTTGAAAGAAAGAAATGGGGAAAATGATGGAAATATAGACATTCTGCAAAGATGTTGGACCATTGCCGGTTGAGACGACCACCGAAGCGCCAAGGACTCCGGAGCCACAGGTGAAATTGAATTTTGTGGGAAAAGTAGGATTGTTAGCTTGTGATTGGATGAGAATTTTAGATCTAGATCTTTAGCTATCAATCCATATCCATGCTTGAAATCATTGATAACTTTTCTTTATTAGAATAGACTTCAATTTGAAAGCCCGTTTTTTCTAGATCGAAGTTTTGCCTCAAACAGCCACCGAGGCTCCTCAACAACCCCAGCAACAACCAGGTGAGGGGAAAAGAAGAGGAAAAAAAATGGGAAAGTATTGGGTTGGTGGAAAAGTCCTTTCCTTTGGTAAAAACCGTTTTGAAATATCTCTTTTCTAAAAGTTTTTACAGCTATTTTAGTAAAGGGCGGCAGAGCCAATAGATTTCAAGCACATTAGCTTTTTTTTCTATTTAGAGTACAAATGAAAACATTTAGCTTAAATTTGAAAAAAGCTTTACCTGAATTTTTTTGGCACATACGATGAGTCTATTTCTAAAGGAAAAGATGTGAATAGAAAATGTTTTAAATTGATCAACTAAAGGAGAAAAAAGTCAGCATTCAGCAGACAGCAATAATGTGCATCAAAATGTAATTTTGAAGTATGTAAAGGCAAGTAATGTAAACCTGCTTAAAACTATTCAAAATCTTAATATTTTACTCCTATCTGCTTTGAAAACAATAGAGCATAGGGCAAAAATCGCAATTGCAAACTTCTACTCAAAAAAACCAAAATCACTTTATATTACTTGAAACAGTGAAATTTTCAGTCGTTCAACCGCCACGAGTTTCTGGACTCGAGGCTCGCCCAGCTCCCCAGCATCCAGCTAGTAAATGAAAAGTTAATTCAAAGTGATACAACTAGTAAAACCATGTAGAATAACAATTCTAAAATTCTAATATAGCCAATGAAACGCCGTTGGATGAGGTGAGAGACCCAAGGAGGGATCCAATTCATCCGGATCACCGAAAATTCCAAGATGATCTATTGAAAGCGCATGAAGAAAGACATCGAAAAATCCTCGAAGCGCGCAGAGAAGCGGCGAAATTGAGGGGAAATCAAGAGAGGAGAGGGTCAAGACCAGCTGCTGATGAGGAATTGTTGACAAGGGATAGAGAACAACAACATCCTCGACAGCCTCAACAGCCTCAACAATCCCAGCAACGACCAGTCGAGGCCCGACAGCAGCCAAATGATTTGCCTAGACATTATCAACATCAATAACCACTCAATGCCCCAATATCAATAATTTATAAATTGGACAGCCCAGCACCAAGATATTTGAGTTCAAAGTTAGATTGCCGATGACAAAAGGGCGGGGCGCGTATCAAATGTCCGATAGCCTTTAGAAACAACAAGAAAAGGATTCAGTTAACCTCCGAAAATTCTAACAATCCACCATCACTTGAATGCAAGAGATCCCCTTTGTTTCAAGATTGACGCATGTCAATTTTCAGCAGTCGGCCAATTGCCCGTCCAATCGGGCAAATGCTCGGGCGCCTTCAAGATGTACTACTTCGAGCCAGCATCGGGCAATTCTCGTTTTCGGGATGTGGAGGGAACAATAATCGCTTCAACACAAAAGAATCCTGTGAAAGTCTTTGCTTGAGAAAAGATGGAGAGATTCATAGAAATGAAGAAATCGCCATTCCACCAAATGGTCTGTTTTTGGATTTTTTTAGTTTGGAATGGGTTGATTTTGGTTGGATTTGGCTAAACCATTTTAAACCATCATCTCTCAATCAGTTTTAAATTTAAAGCTTATAGTTAAAATTGGATTAGAAACTCAACTAAAAGTTCAATTTCTGTTCCTTTCCCGTTTGTAAGAATGAAAATTGCAAGATTTCAGCATGATTTGATTGTTAAACAATGATTTTCTGAATGTTTCAAGAATTGCAATGATTCAAAAATCGTTTTCTATCATTTTTTTTCAAACTTAAACTTTAATTCAGTTTCTTTACCTAGATTTGAAAGCTTTAGATCAACAAGAGATCTTAGAGATTCTTCGAAATAAACTCTGATTAAAAGCTTGGGCTTTTGTTTGTACTTAAACTTTGAAACGATGAATATTCTAGGGACTGGTGCAGGAGCAAACTCATTGTGTGATGAGGCGAAAGACTCGGGTCCGTGTGTGCAATTCCAGACGAAATGATTCTACAACAAAGCCGATGGAGTGTGCAATAGGTGAGGAAATCTAGCAAAAATGAACCTGATTTTATAAGCCAATAATTTCTTAAACAGTTTTACAAAACAGTACAGTATCTACTTGTGAAACTAAACAATTGGAAACAGATATCTGGCTTGGCTTTGGCTTAGCTTTGGCTTGGCTTTGGCTTGGCTTTGGCTTGGCTTTTTGGAACAGTCTTGATCAGCTGAGTGAAATTAATAGAGTAAAGAAATGAATGGCAGAACTTGGAACCGAGAGGGAATTGAAAATTGACCTAAAAAGCTGACAATTTGGAGTCATTTTTAAAAAGTTAACCTATTCAAAAACTTCTAACTTCCCTTCAATTCCGACATTTTCAGCTTCCACTACGGTGGCTGTGAGGGAACGGGCAATCGTTTCGATACCGAACAAGCCTGCAAATCCGCCTGCTCACAACATCAAGGTTCGTTTGAAAAGATGCAAGAAAAGCGAAAAGTTGTTGGCTTTGAAACAAAATTTGTTAATGTTTTATGCGTCAGAAAGAAAACTGAATTAAGCGCGTACTCGCATGCTGTTTCGAAGAAATTTAAAATATCTAGAATTTTTAGAAAACAAACCAGTTTTTAACATGAAATGCTGTTTCGAAGCATCGACCTCATCATGAGTTTAGCTGATTTTTTAGTCTGCTTCATAAATCCAAAAAATGAACACAACCTTGCACTTTTGCCATATTTTACTCTTGATTGTAGAGCTAAAAGTTGAGTCGAATGTGTAGATTTTATAGTAGTACAATTAGTATTTATCTAAAGTTTTTCAGATTCCTGTTTCTTGCCCAAGGTGCAAGGTCCATGCACGGGAAAACAGAAGAATTTCTTCTACAATCAAGACACACGTCAATGCGAGGAATTCGTTTATGGAGGATGTCTCGGGAATACGAATCGGTGAGGGGAAAACGATAGGGATCAGGAAAGGAGAAAATAGAGAGACTAAATAGCTACCGTAAAATACTCTATTAGAACGCCAGTTCCTCGTACAATCGCGTAGTCGCAAAAGGATTTCAAAAGTATTTTTAATATTTCATTTTTTTTCAGAACGCTTATTTCAAAAAATGCGTCTTTGTTCTCAAAAAATAGCCTTGAATTTCAGCTATTTTTTGATAGCTAAGCCCACATTGTAGCTTAAAGCAGTGCCAAGGAAAACTTGTTGAAAGTTAGACTACACGACTGTACGCCCGTCATTATGGGGCTGGCGTTCTATTAGAGTACGGTAGATAGTTTCAAAGTGGATCTAAAGTTTATAAAGTGAAAAGTTTAGCCTTTCATTTTGATTTGAATTTGAATTTGAAGCAATTTGAAGCAGCTTAATTTCGAAAAGCTTAAAAGCCAATGAATCAAAGAATTAGAATCATTTTTGAAAAGGATTCAATATAAGAAGCAATAATCGAATATTGCGTATAAATAGTGAATTCAGTGAAACAGTGAATGGGAAAAAGAAGGCTTTGAAAAGCTTGAAAGCCGTTTTCTGAAAGCTATTAGTCAGATAAGGTCATTTTCATCTTTCTTTAAATTGAAACTTTTTTAAAATCCTACCAAAAAGCTAAAGGAAATGTTTAACGATTTAAATTTGATGAAATCTCAAATGAAATTAATGAAATTATCCTTTCCAGTTTCGCCACCATCGAGGAATGTCTGGCTCGTTGTGCACGTGTGAAAGAAAAGTGAAAGAAATGAATTCTTCAAAAATTTTGAAACAGCGAATCTTCACAAAAAAAAAATTCCAACGGTTTCCTTTTTTTCTTAACTTATCTTTGTTGATGTTGATGAAATTCTGAAATTTTCTTTTGTTTTTAATCTTATTCTCTCTCCAAGAAACGATTTCTTCTGTTCTCTACGAGTTTTCGACATAAAAATAAGATTGTTTTTTTCTTTTTTTTTTTGAAACTTTTCTTCAATAAATCCCGAGCATCTAAAAATTTCCTTAAAAAAAAACAGAAAACTGATGCTTTGTGTGCTAGAATTTCCGCTTTTCTTTGTTTTAACCATTTTGTTTTTTCCATTAAAAGTAATGGAAAGAGTAAAGAGGTTTTCATTCAGTTTCAAAATTTTCAACTTTTAAATCTTTCAGCGAACTTTAATCACTTCTATGTTTTAAATTTTTAAATTTTTCATTATTCAGTCAAAAATTTCGAGTAGAAAATTCGAAAATAAATGAAAATCTCGATTTTGTTTTTGTTTGTTTTGTTACACTTTGAATCATGTTAAGCTTTATGTTAAGCTCAAAGTTTGAAGCTTTGACTTTTCATTGGAGTGATTCAGCTAGATCACCGTAGTTTTACCTAGCCTAGCTGCAAAATCTAAAGCCTATAGTTTCCTAAAAGGTGGGCGCGCTCGGGGAAAAAAGTTACCGTAATCTTATTCATCGATACGTTTCGAAAACAACCTGGGTACCATATTTTTCAATCGAAATACTGCTTTTTTTTGAAGCTTCTAACTGGGGAAGATGGTCATTTTGATGCGCACTTTGTGTATTTGATAGAGTTTTGAATGGGGAATTCGAATATGCTTTTAGTTTTTCCAATAAAGCTCTGTATCTCAAGAAATCTGGCATCAAAGTTTCAGACCCGAAATCCGACAGTATTTCAGCGCAATTTTGATTTTTTTTGCTTTTTTAAGAAAATTTATTGCAATTAACAAAGTGAAATTACAAATGAAAATTTACTAAACACAAATGCATCAAATTCATTGAAAAATAACTGTACTTACAACCCGCGAGACCAATAAAAACTCCGAAAAACCGACCTAAACGTAGTCTAACCTCTTTTTCGAAAATCATTCTTTTCTGAGCCCCTAGATTTTTCCCAATTACACTTTTGATACCAAAAAATACTAGATTTTAAGGGCTACCATTTGACACCCAAGCGCACACTGTAACATAAAGCAGCGCGGAGAACGGAGCGTGGAAAGTTAGACTACCCCGTTATTATGGGGAGGGCCTTACTGTTATACAGTGCGTTTCAAATTCTTAAACGCACCCTCTAAAATAGCGGATTTTGCATTTTGACCACCGCTACAACTATTAGTCTTTTTCTATTAGAAAGAGCATGTCTTAAAACCTAAATAACACGAAAAAGAAGCATACTGTAAAAAGTAAAAATTTTCAAAATAGAAACTTTTTGCTAAATCGACCGTTTCAAATTCTTAAACGCACTATGAAAATATTTTGAAAATTTTTACTTTTTACAGTATGCTTCTTTTTCGTGTTATTTAGGTTTTAAGACATGCTCTTTCTAATAGAAAAAGACTAATAGTTGTAGCGGTGGTCAAAATGCAAAATCCGCTATTTTAGAGGGTGCGTTTAAGAATTTGAAACGCACTGTAGGTATTACGGTAACAATTTTAACTAAATATTTTCAAGCTCATGATAAAACGAGATTAATAATAAATAATCATAACAGTAAATAAGTAATAAAACTCATAATAAAACGAACTAATGTGAGTGGTCAACTCAGAGTCCAAAAGTTGATCAAGAAATTTGATTCAAAAAACTGTTTCGAGGAGCAAAAATACGGAAATGGGGTCTTTATGGGCGAACAAATGAAGTCCACAAAATGGTAACGAGCTCTGAAATTGGAAAGCGCTTTTCTCATTTGGAGTTCGTAAAGGAAATTGATGTGTCCAAAAATGACGTAAGAAATCAAAAAAAGGGCTAAATACTCAGTCAATCAAGAAAAGTAGCAAATTATTTGCTCTCTGAATATCTTTCATGCTTTCAACTTTAATCACAACATATTCAATCAAACATCAAAAGGGAAACAATGCGGTTAACTTTGGAGCAGTCACATTTCAAGTACTCGAGCAGTCGTTTTCAAAAAGTTTTCAAAAGATCCCTGTTTATATTATTTTGGAAAAACACAGCCTTTGCTCCCAAGCATCTAAAAGTTTCGTTAAAAGTTAAAGTAGAGTTAGAAATATTCTCTCAATTTTACCACCCTCAAAACACAAACTCTCAATTCGATTTCTTTCTAGCGTTCATTCTTTTTTGTTGATTGTTCGATGATTCTAATGCTTTCTTTTTAGGAAATGACGGTGTTCGAATCGCCCAATTGCATTCTCTGCAAGAAACCGTGTAAGTTTTTGCTTTTTAGTAATGGACTTCGAAATAATGTAGATTTTAAAGCTTAAATAAAGTGGGGTTTTCTTTTATTTGTCAATCTTTAGTTACTCGAGTTGTTGAACAATCTCGATCTCCATGTCAGTTGGGTTGCGGATTGGCCATCTCAATAACATAGAATTGATGATTTTTGAAATTGAATTTGAAATGATTTTTGCAATTATTCCAAATTCAATTGTAGTAATTTAGGATTGGAAAAGCTTTCTTTCGTCACTCACAGACACATTTGTTTGAGTCATAACTTTTTTGAGTCTGATGGATTTTATATTTTTTTCAAATGATTTGAAATGATCACAAAAAGTTTCAAATATTTAACTGGTAACCTATAACCTACCTTTATCTGCCTATTTTTATTTTTTTGTTTATTAGGCTGGTCGACTAATTCGTTAATTTTTTATTAACTTTTAAAGTGTAATTTCTCAAAAACCACAGCATCAATCTTTCTGAAAATCTAGAGAACATTAACATCTTTGAAACGGTATTTTCTTATCAAATAAAGCCATTCGAAGTTAATATTTCTTCAGAAGTTCTTAAGTCTGCTTCAATTATGACCGATTTACGCGAGAAATATGAATCATTCACGTGTTTGACACTCTAAAGCATAACACATTTTTTCTTTAGACAAACGAAATCAACATTTGAATCATCCGCTGAGAATTACTTGCCTCATTTGCGTAAATTCGGCACTCAAGTTAGGGTGAGTTGGGCGGTTTTAAAACAATTTCATTCTATTTATTTGGGAACTGCTTCAAGCCTCAAAGAGTTTCCCGCTGTCAAAAAACCAAAAATGCAAAGTGATATGTAAAATCTTTGATTGTCTTTTTAAAAATGTTGTTATATCTTTATGTGAATACGTTCGTCAATTAATAACGAATAAGAACTTTTAATAAGAACCAGCCGTAACCCCCTCTGACGCTAAAGGGCCTTTACAATAAGGTTGAAGGAACATCTAGCTACCTAATAAATAAAAGCTCATGGAAATTATAATTTCAGAGGCATTTAAAATTGAATAACAAATCGACGAGTTAAGGGACGAGAAGAGCGACCTTCACGAAGAATCCTCAGTTTCCTCGTGCTGATGTCCATTGATGTTCGACACGTTTATCGAATAGGAGTCTATTCAGGAGAGGTGAGAGAGCAAACTACTTCCAGCTTCAGGCGGAATTCTGGGTTTTTGGGAAAACCTTTTATTTTGAAGATTTTGAAGAAACAATTCAGAAATAAAGAAAAAGATAATGTGCAGTTGTGTGTTTTCAGAAGAATCAATAAGATGAATTTATTGGTTTTTGTCCACAGAAAAGAACACAAAGCATTTATGAGAATTGAGAGCTCATTTTGCAGATAAAAGGAGCCTGATAGGTAGGAGCAGAAGAGCCCACGAACCATCCCTCATCGTGGCTCGAAAGCTGAAATATGTTCATTTCTGATGAAAATCCTTTGATAAAACACTTTGCGTTATTCTAGACAAAGAAGTTTCCCCAAATTGATCGAAATATTTTTAGATTAATTATGCATTGGAAATTGAAAAACATATTGATGATTTCACGTCGAAAATCTCACATAAGCGTGGGTGTTCGAATTCGGGTATCCCGACCACCAATTCGTGAAATCCACCGAGCTTCCATCCGTCCATTCAAAAGCATTTCCTTTGTTCGGATTTCTCTGAAAAAAGAAATTTTTATGTTTCACTGTTGATATTTCAACCAAATTTTTTTCCCTTTTAAAATTCTTCTAGTTCTTCAATTCAAATTAGATTTCTATCAGTTTCTATGATTCCAGATTTCCATCAAAGAACTATCAGTCAAAACGAATCATTTCTTAACAAAGAGCCTTCGGACAAAAGAATCATTACTTTCTATTTCTCTATTTCTTTTAATAAAAGAAATTCAACCTTCAATCCGATCCAGAACCAATTATAAGGAGAGCCCGAACAAATAGATTTCGCTAAAATGATAATGGATTGTTTTCGGTTTTGTAGAGTGAAAATTTCTACGAAAATCATAACTTTTCAGAATTGAATCATTTCAACTTCTTACCGAGTTTCCAAACAAAGTCGTGTTCTTCCTGACTGTGAATTGAGACTAAATAGCTCTTTCGGCTCGCACAATATGCCTCGGCTTCCTCAAATGTCATTTTTGGATCGATAACCTTGAGATGAAGATAAGCCAAGTTCATAACCTCCACCAAACCTTGTACCAAGAAGCGGTTTTTGCCAAATACGCCCATCCATCCCGATTCAAGAAAGTCATCGTTCGATTTCTGAATTTCTTCGAAAAACTTTACTTCAGACGTTTTAAACAAATACTCAATCCTTTTCCTTAAAAAAACTCACAAATCTGCCTGCAACTTCACCACTTCGGCCGTTTTATTTTCTTTTTCAAATTGTCTAGAAAGGAGTTGATTGGTTTGAGTGGAATGGGTGTTTTGGGAGTGAAAAAGCTGTTTTCTCAAGTCTCAGTCGACAAGAGTTGCCAAATAAACTCACATTTGGGTTTCGAGATCAAAGTTTTTGCTCTGCAACGCGTTGATTTTCCCTT